TTCACTTCGAGGTATAATAAGGCATTTTATTGGACTACCTGCAGATCAACCCAGACAAGATAATCCCCATGACAAGAAAAGGTGGCGATGTCACATGTGTTTTAACGACAACAAACATCCAAAAATATGCTCAGTGTGTACTAAGGGTATTTGTAAGAAGCGTAGCATTGAAGTCGTGAAATGTTTGCAGTGTGCGGCAGATTGTCTTCAAATAATTTTAAGGTATTATATTCAAATAATTTGAAGGTAATACAAAATACCCTAGACTTTTTGACTAAAATTCTTAATATTGTATTTCCTTTTTTACAGGATGAAAAAAAAAAGTTGGAAAAAGGAGTACCTAATTATATTTAGGTACATACTATTATTGAAGGTAATACAAAATACCCTAGACTTTTTGACTAAATTCTTAATATTGTATTTCCTTTTTTACAGGATGAAAAAAAAAGTTGGAAAAAGGAGTACCTAATTATATTTAAGTTTTTAAACATTTCAATTATTATTTAGTTAGTTTTTGTAAAACCGTACAAGAAATACAATGTTTATGAATAATTCATAATAATTAGGTACATATTCTGTTTTCATGGCACATGTTATATTTATGCAAGCCATCCGCTAAATATGGTTTAGTTTGTTTATCCCTGTTGCTTGTAGCACTTTTGGTACCCAAGCAATAGCTCCGTAAGCGTGCGTTCATAACGAGGCGCCGACCCTCGCTTAGACCATGGCATGGTATTATTTAATCGATTTTCGGTAAAATAAATGCATTACTTAAAATGCGAACGTTCACCGTCAGTGTTACGCTGTAGGCAAGAAGACGGTGCACAATAGCATGTTATGGCAGCGAAGCATGGGTCCTGAAAGAAACATCCAAAAACAAAACTCGACAAATTCGAAAGAAAAGTACTGACGAGAATACTAGGACCTGTGAGGGAAAACGGAATCTTCAGAATTCGATATAACAACGAGCTCTATCAACTGCATAAGGAAACACCCCTGTCAGACTTCATTAGAATACAAAGATTGCAATGGGCCGGACATGTGATACGAATGGGAGAGGATAGGCTACCAACACGAGCACTGAACGCCAGAATGCAGGGAAAGAGACCAGTTGGAAAGCCAAAAAAGCGCTGGGAAGACACAGTAAGCAGCGACGCACAAGCACTTTTAGGAGTCCGTGTATGGAGAAGAGCAGCCACAGACAGACAAGGGTGGAGGCAAAAAATAAAGGAGGCCAAGGCTGATTTTGGGCTGTAGTGCCGTAGAAGAAGAAGAAGAAGACGGTGCGATGGTCTCCGTTATGAACGCATCCTAAGTTAGCATTGGCCTAATAACAGTGGTGTAGACCCTGGTCACCCTGGTCGAAAGGCCCCAGGTGCGTTTAACTGTTCGTCGATACTACTCATGGAAATATATGTTCTTTTAGCTCTACCATCTAAGTGTGAGTTCCATGTTAACTTCCTGTCAAGGGTAATACCAAGGTACTTCATCGTTTACCTTGGACAACACTTAAATTGTAACGCAGAAAGTCACGGCGAAATTAGATCTAGGATAAAGCAGCCTAGAGCTGCTTTTAGAAGGATGTCCAAGGTGTTATATAACAGAATCCTAAAATTGGCATTGAGGATCCGCCTACTTCGCTACTACGTGTCCTCGATTTTACTTTATGGCGTCGAGTCCTGGACTGTGAATAAAATCGATCTAAATTGCCTTGAGGCTTTCGAAATGTGGTGCTATAGAAAAATTTCCTGGTGTGGAGAAGATTCGAAACTCCACAATACTAGTAGAGGGTCCAAATACAGGTTGCTACAAAATATCATGCAAGGAAAAATAGCAGGCAAAAGCAGTCCAGGACGAAGAAGAACCTCATGGTTGACGTACTTGCGAGATTGGTATGGTGTTGATGCAAGCATGCTATTTAGGATAGCAGTGAATAAAATTAAGATAGCTATAATGGTAACCAATGTTCTGAAAGGACATGGTACATGAAGAAGAAGAACAAAAAATATTGTCGAATTTGGCAAGATGCAAATCCAGATGAGATCCAAGAGCCTCTCATGCACTTCGAAAAAGTAACTGTCTGGTACGCATTTTAGGCTGGCGGTATCATTGTCATCCATATTTCTTTGAGAAACACGTTGGCCAGACCATCACTGTCAACTGCGAGAGTTATAAGTCAACTGGTCATTAAAATGCACTAGGAAACTAAATTCCTGTAGTTGGCTGTATACCATATATCACAAGAAATTTTATACATGTCACTACAGTAGTGACAGTGCCGTGAACAGTGAACAGTGTAGTAGTGTCTGGAGGCTCGGGAGACTGAGACCTCGGAAGCCCTGAGGAAGGCATCAGAAAGGATGCCTAAAGCTCGGCAAAATTGATATCGACGCGGTTCAACCCAGAAGACTGGTGAGTTTGATATTAATTTTAGTAATAATATTAATCTTAGCTCTAAGTTTCATTGTACTAACCGCGGAAATCTTTCCGAACATTTCCGAACCTTTCAGCCATCAATTTTCTGTTGTTCTGGCATACTTGTCAACACACAAAAACAACCTACCATCTTTATTTTTCACACATAACCAGTAATTTATGTACATGAACTTATAACTTAAAAAATGTTTTATTTTTATCAGGTACCAAATGTTGTTTTTTGACATAGAGGAACACATTCTTGTCATATTTAAATTTCATCTCAAGAGCATATCTAAACATATCTTTTACTACATCACTCCTCATTAAAAAATCTTATAGAATCCATCTTCCTACATGTGCCTTTTTTACCATTTTCTAGGTACCAAATGTTTCACAACATACAGGGCCTTTTGTTAAAATCTTTAGTTTAGAATAAATAAATCTAGTCACATGTATAGTTGGTTGCCTATCGATCCTACAAAATTTCATATACTTCAGTTTACCTACATTAATTTTAAAAAACAATTGTTTCAATGTTTTCAACATAGATAGAGGATTAATTCACATTACATACTACAACATTGATGGTTGATACTGTTACAGTATTATAATTTTAACTTGTTTTTAAACAGTTTTAACCGAAAACCGGTTTTTTTACTCCGAAATAACCGTTTTATCGGTTGTTTTTTTTTTGTCCCAGTTATAACCGGTTTTTTATTTTTAATAAGGTTATTAGGTTTTTACAGTGATTAGGATTAGGTTAGGTATTATTTTGGATCCCACCCAATCATAATTATTATTCTCAAGTAATTATTCCAAACAAAAGTAAAATTCAATTTTTATTTTATTTTATTAATACAGAAGCAAACTGAAAGTCACTCACATCAGCCAGAAACAATTAAATTTTATTATAGTATTTCGTTGAAAAAGTATTTGTAATCATAATATTTTTACATAAGAACTGATCTGGTATTTATACATCATCTATTTTTCACACTTGACTCTTGACATTAAAACTGGGTAAATGGCTTTTTCTGATTACTAAAAATAATGACTATGAATATCAAGTTACCGATTACGAATACGAATCTCCAAGGATTTCCCTACGTTTTCAAAACGATTAATACCCATACCGGAAGTCGTAAATGAGTTAAAAGTAATACATGATCATTTTTTTTGATGGTAGTAAAAATAAAAGATGAATTGCATTATCCAATTTATTTTTATGTAAAATATTTATGTTGATATTATTTTCTTTAAATCCCATTTGAAAGAGTCTGGGGAAATTTTTGTTGGGGAATTTTTTTCTTAAAAAAACACAAAAAATTGTGTTATATTTACATTGATATTGATGTTCTTTCGATAGTACTAATTTTGATCAGATTGATATCGAGTCGAATGTAGTATCGCAAATTAAAGTGCATTGTAAATGTTCTGGAATTGTAAATGCATTAAAAAAATTCTAATCTATTGGAATAAAAAAACCGAAAACCGGTTTTTGGAAAAACCGGTTTTTTTTGGCCGGTTATAACTGCCAGGTTAAACCGTATGCAAAAAAAACCGGTATAACCGAAAACCAGTGTTTTGTCAAAACCGCCAACCCTACTGACTGCTCTGACACAACATCCGTGCTAACATGTCAACAATGTCATTTTTATCAGTTGTTATCAACAGGTCCTCGAAGACACTTCGTCTTAGGACCATATAACCTATGTAGGGTCATACGTCGCCATGTTACCAATTCCAACGGTAATTTAAACATCCTAATTCGTAATTATATATCATGTAAAACAACTATAAATTTATAACATTTAACGGGTTTTGACCCATATATTTTGGTGGCTCATAGCTTCTAACCCCGTAAGTATTAACCACATTTTGCTTTAACTTTAGTCAACATTTTAAATTCAACGTTCTTTTTAATTAAAGTGGATATATACTTTCAGGTTTACACTGATGATGGAATTAACATTCCAAAAACGTTCTGTAGTGTAATTGTGATAGCCCGTTTGGGCATTTTATTATAATATATCTTTTATAAAGAATTTGAAAAAACTTTTTTTTAACTGGTCATTAGTGCGATTTGACCCTGTTAGACTCTTTCGGGATTTCAGGTTTCATTTCGGGACAATTTTTAAAAATGATTTATATCAATAAAATTACAACTTCGCATTGCAAGTATTAGAGTATATTTGACTGTATTATACAAAGGTTAAAAGAAGACTGAATAAAGAACATAAAACTGCTATTATTACAATTTGGAAAAATTATACATACGTTAGCTTCTAGATACAAGTCAAGCACCGTTTAAAACATACGTACATACGAGGACACATTGGCGTAGTTAGGCCAATGCATATTACTCCTCCAGCCTGAGAATCAGGAATTTGTCATTAGGTGGAAAATGATTTGGGTTGTATATGAGGTAGGAATTCTTCGGTTTCCGAAGTTCATTACTATTAATAGGAATATATTTTTTTTCCTTGATTCCGTTTTGACTAGATGAGTTTTATCTAATGAAAATTCTTCAATGTGAATTTTAAACATCCCTTTTTCGCCATTTTTTAAAATTAAATACTTAATAAACAAGGTAAAAATAATTTATTTATTAAACAAAAACTTTAAGTAAACAGTTTAAATATTAAATTCCTAAAGAATTTAAAAGTAAATATACAGAACGCTGAAATATAAAAGTATAATTTAAAGAGCACTATTTATAATTTCTTCAAATATTTGTCCCAAAATTTGTGATAGAAGTTCGTTGTTTTTGTCGACAAAATCGCAGAAATTGTCGTTCAAAGCTGTGCTGACAAGTGCGCTGAACTCAGGATTGTTGAGGAGCCCGTTCAAGTTAAACTAAAAAAAAAAACACGTTGTTAATATTTTATAACGCAGTAAAATAAAGCAATATATGCGAGCGGCACGCCCCGTCAAAGACACAGAATGTATGACCAGGGCGTTATAAAGTCTAAATTCAAGTTTTTCTTGTGTTCTCAAAGTATAGTAAAGTTAGAATGTCCTTCGGCAAAAAAGTTTATGATAGATACTCTCTCCAAACCTTGGGTATAGCTTTATTAGGTCAAGTCTGACACGGTTTTCCTCTGCGACTTTTTTTGGTTCTGGAGCGTCTTCCTCAGACAGATAGGAAAATCGGAAAATCGTGGGACTATATATTTTTCTAATTAAATAGTTTATAAATTAAGAGAAAAACACGAAAATAATATTGTCTGTTGATAAATGTAGGTCATTCAATGCGTCTAATGACTCAATCAAACTACTGTGATGAAATTCATAGATAACCAGCTAATTTTTTCAGGACACTTTCATTCTCTCTCTCTCTCTTGTCGTTTCCTCATTGCTGAGGATCGTGATTCCCTACAATGCGGACTGTCAATTCTCTCCATCTCTTGCGATTTTGGGCTGCTCTCATGGACTCGGAAAACGTCTCTCCAGTGGCTTTCTGTACTTTATCTGACCATCGGATAGGTGAGCGTCCTCGGCCTCTACGTCCTTCTACGTTTCCGCACATAATTAGCCTTTCTAAGTTGTCATTTTCTCTTCTCGCAATGTGGCCAAAAAACTTTAAAACATTTGCAAGACACTGAGAGGAGAGTCTGGTCTGAATGTTTAGCTCTTCGAGAATCGACTGATTGGATCTGTGCTCCGTCCACGAGACGCGTAGCATTCGTCTCCAGCACCACATTTCGAATGCGTCAATCCTTTTCCTATCCTCTGATTTTATTGTCCATGTTTCGGCACCGTAACTAAAGATTGAAAAAACGAGTGTCCGTACCAGTCTCATTTTGAGTTTTTTGGACAAAGAGCGGTCCTTCCATATTTTTGACAGTCGACTCATCGCGTTCTTGGCCATTCCTATTCTTCTGCGAATTTCCGTATGGCAGGAGGCTGCATTGCTTAAGGAAGATCCTAGATACGTGAACTCGTCTACTTTCTCGAATTGATTTAGGGCGCCTGTTGTTTGGAGGATATTCGCGTGGTCCGCAATCATGATTTTTGTTTTCTGATTATTAATCTTGAGCCCACACTTGTTGCTTTCGGTTTCTACTCTCTTTATCAGTCTCGACATCACCTCTTCAGATGTTGCTATCAGTGTTGTATCGTCTGCGAATCTTAAGTTTGAGATCTTTTTCCCTGCAATGGAGATGCCGCCTCTCCATCCATCGAGTGCGTTCCTCATTATGTATTCTCCATATAAATTGAACAGGTCTGGAGATAGTATGCAGCCTTGTCGTACACCTCTGCTGGTTTTGAAGGTATCAGATTGCTGGTTTTCAATTCTTATTTTAACCGAGTTATCTTCGTATAAGTTTTTAATTAATATTGATATATAATTAATATTATTATTGCCACTTTCATTAGTAGCAGCAAAAATAACTTTTCATATTGTCGGATGAAACTTGTTTGTCAATTTTCCTGTTTTCCTGTCTGACGAGTGAAAATTTTCGAGAAAACTATATATCGCCATAACGTTTGTCATTTTAAAGATGTATGTATTTATGAAAGACGGCTAAACTATAATTATCTATAAGAGTGATAATATTGCCACGATCAAAGATAAAACATTCGAAGAAATACAATTAGAACACCGACTTCTCACGGTTTACAAGTAAAGATAATAAATAAAAATACTAATTAAACAAAAATACTTACCACTGCAGTTCCCAGATCAATTAATACACTAATGTCTTTTACTTTGATTCCACTGGAAAGATCTATTCCTCCTGATATATTTAGGTCAATGGTCTCTATGTCAATACTAAAACAAGTAAATATGTATAATTTTGTGTCTTCGAGTGAGCATAGCAGAATATTTGTAGGGACGGCAGACTAAAGCACATAAGTAAAAAAATCGGTTTTTCTTTTTGTACATGCACATGTCTATACCATTTTTCAAAGTAAAACACTTGCACGCCACGATTTCTATAAAGTGGCATCACTTGTATTTAAAATTTCTAGAACATCAACCTTAGAGTTCATATTTTCCTAACACAGCTAATAATACGAAACCCGTACAGAACTGCTCGATCTTTTATAGGCGTCACCATGGTGGAATAATACACACAAACACACATGCAGTGATCAACCCTGCCTCTAGAAACATGTGTATACCAATCTAAGAATGGGATCCACATGTCCGAAGATCAAACCGGTCACACCTCACTAGTTGAAGTGGTACCTATCTGAGAGACCAGGCTTTTCCTTCACCCCTCCTCATCGTGTGACTTACGTGAGGAGGCTTATGATCTGAAAGTTATTTAAGGTGCTCTGGAATGAGACACCTTCTGTTTTTATTGACTGTGGTTATGCCACCTAACTGTAGGGATAGCCACATCTAGGCTTTTCTCCCTATTTACTTTACTGACTCGATTGATTTTAACATCACTTCGGGACTTGAGTCCCTAAAAGAAAAAATAAAAAAAGAGCGTGTGTTCCGTCCATGGAGCCGCCAGCATAAGCTGGCGACTCTATATCCAGAAAAGAGTGCGTGCTTGGTCACTTAGCCGCCGATTTGGCAAAATAAATTTTGTTCTCCTCGCCGGCTGGGCGCCCGAGATGGGTCCCGCCACCAAGCCCATATTTGCCGCAGATGACCTTAGTGCTCGGGTGATGGTGGAATAATAAGAAAAATGTAGTCATCATTATATTGGAAATTTTAGAATTATATTGATTAAATAACCAAAAACATTTGTTATTACTAATAATATAAATTTTATGAAATAACTCTTTAACTCTAATATTCCACAAAACAATAATTTTAATTAAATATATGAGACAATTGTACGCAACTGATACGGAAATACTTCAAACATTATTGACAGTTCAGCGGGGTGGCAAACGTCTATTAAGTATTGCCGCTTTTTTAGAGTAGGAATTTTTTTTATGTTTTAATTTCTTACACAATTTGATCATAAATATATATTAATAAATTGTATTTATAAATACAAATTAAATTTAGATTAATAGCTTTAAAAAACTAATAATTGTTGTGTATTGTGATTGTGATATGACAAAACAAATAAATAGTCTGTAGAAAGTTGATAAGCTTTAAGATAGATTATTTTGAACAAGAAATAATGGCGGGACGTTTTTACTATTAAAGCCCTAAAAGAGGTAAGTTTAAAATTTAGAATATATAACTTTGTATTAAAATGTCCTATGTATTTTAATGTGTTGCAGTAGTCTTAAAACTAAGTGTATTTACTGTTAATATAATAGTTTGACAAATAGTTGACATTTTAAAAATTCCTCACTTACTAACTGTTCTGATATTTTGGCAACGCTGTGGGTTTCTGACGACGTAAATCTTGAATGACGTGCAAGCTTTTTTATATGAAAAATGCTATATATATTTTTTTCTCCGTCGACTAACTTTGCATATAAATCCTACACGTTTATTTCACATTGATTTTAAGTAGCGTACTTTTTCAACCTTTCAACTTCTAGAAATCTTTAGATGTTCAATGTTCTTTATTATATAAAGTTGACTTATGTGAAAAAGTACAATTATTATATTTAATTTTGCTAATTTATAGGAATGACTTAAGTTCTACCTCAAAGTACCTCAAGTGCTTGACGTGATCGTTTTACTTGTTAAAGAATATACAGATATTTAACTTTAGGTACCTACTTAATGTAAATCTGGTGTTAAATCATAAAGCTATTTGTTTTCGTATGAATATTTTTGTTCGTACATTGTTTTTATTAATGTTATATTTTACAGGTCACCGAAATCAGCAACCTTCTTCTTCTTAATATGTTGTCCCCATTAACGGAGGTTGGCGACCACATTTCTAAAGTTTCTCTGTCTTTTGCAACGTGGAATAGTTCGTATAAAGTCATGTTTATCCAGTCTTAAATATTTAGCAGCCATGACTTCCTCTTTCTACCTATTTCCTTTTTGCTATCGACTATACCCTGCACGATGACCTGCATAAGACTATATTTATCATTTCTCAGTATGTGTCCAAGGTATGCAGTCTTGCGTCCATCAGCAACCAAGAAACATTTATTTGATCGAGAATAAACCTTCAACATTATCAGACTTTTATTGGAAAACGTTTATTCCATCAGATTTTGATTTTTCTAGTGATGATTCCATACAAGATCGACATTATCAAGCTCCAGAAATAAAAACAGTACATTTAAGTTCAAGTGATGAATAGACTTCACGAATCTCTTCGACAGTGCTACAAAAAAAAAAGAGACTTCGTTCCATTAAACACGAGAAAAAAACAAAAAGAAATCAGGGTAAGTCATATAAAACCATGGATCCATGGAAGAACTGCTAGCGTGTCGCATGAAATGCAAGGAGCGTATACCTTTGGCCAAGACAGAAGTGATATTCAATGAATGTTAACTAATGGGTACATACCAAAAAAGCTTTGCTTACATGTCATCAATAATAGAGATTGAAGACAAATATTTTGTTCTAATAGATGTACTGCGTCAAGCTATTTGTAGGGGATGTTTGCTAAAACTTTAGATGAATATGATAATTTTATAAAAACCGTGGCAATGAAAAAACGGTCTTTAGTAGGTGGTACAAATGTTAATGATATGCGTAAAATAGCTGTACCTAAAAATAAAATATCCGATAACAAAAGTAAGGAAATTAAAAACCATATTTTGTCTTTTCTGTCCTATGAAAGTCACTACACCAGAAAAAGTACATCAAAGAACTTCTTTGCTATTAAAAATAACGATGTAGATAAAAAACAGTTTAAATGATTAAAATTTTTAGGATTTCGCTCTTTTCTCTTACTTCTTTCCATCTTTATCCTTCAGTCCTTCAATAAGATTGTTATAGGCTTTCCTAAGGTTGATCTTAAGCATATCAGGCCTCGATTTATTTTTCGTTTTCTTTGCAACAGTCAGTCCTGCTTTCAAGAGCTTTTATTGTATTTCTTTATTAATTGTGTTCACGTCTGAATATTCTTATAGAGGCTTGTTTGGGTGTCACTGAGTTTTATGCTGATTCTATACAAAATTAAAGGTGGCATAGTACTACCAACTTTTTTAAAGCAGTGCTACTAACTTTACCATATAAAAACATCAATTTAAAAAATTTTAAACTCCAGTAAACAAAATTTTTGAACCTGGATCTTTGGTACCCAGGGCATGGTGACTTTCAACAGGATATTCGTGTTCAGCGAAATTTTATTCAATATTTGCCGAGTTTAAACTTTTTAAATTTGCTTCTTCTTCTTCTTCTACTTTTTTTGTAGATCTTTCGATCTGTTTAATTCTGAAGCTGCCTCTGGTTAATTTCTTGGGAGGTAGATTGCCAACTATCCCTCCATCTTTTAGGTGGTCTTCCGGGGGGTCTTGAACCAGGCGGATTGTTTTCTAGGGCAATTTTTGGGAGTCTATTCTCATCCATTCGTCTTACATGGTTGTACCACATCCTTTTGCGCTGTCTTCCCATCTTACAATATCTTGAATTTTGCACTGCTCTCTAATGTTTGTATTTCTCACTCTGTCCCTTCTTGTTTTCCCCATTATTGTTCTTAGGGTTTTCATTTCGGCAACCCTTAGCATCTGTTTCGTTTTGTTGGTATCTTCGCGCACTTCTATGCCATATGTCATGATCGGTCGTATGCAAGTCTTATAGATTCTAATTTTACTATCTGTGCGCATATACGGATTAGACCAGACTATCTCCCGCAGACTATCCTTACAGTGCAGATGTTTGTTGATCTGACTCCTCAGGTCCTTTACTGGGTCATGGGTGCTTGATATATCTATGCCCAGATATCTGAATTGCATCACTGTTCTATGGGGTTGTCCTCAACCACCAACCAAATTTGCACACATTGAAAATGCTTTTTCTAAATACATTTTTCTTATGCACAAATGCAATTTTTCATTTCTTCATGCTCGCATTAGTTTCTGCATCTCAATCCGTCGTACTGCGCCAATCTTCGAAGGTTTATTGCTTTATTTCCTTAACTATAATTCGCTCAATAAACTTTATTATATTTTATATTTAATTATGAAACAAATACTAATGAATGCGAAATAAGTCGATATTGCTTGCAGTATATGATATTTTCAATTAAATTGCCATTACTTCAACAATTTTTTATAATTATTTTCTACTATTGTATGCATATTTTTTAAACCAATGCATATTAATATTTTCCTCTTCTTTATTTGCATATTCGTCGATTTGCAACTTTGTTAGCTTCAAATAATAAAATTAGTTATATAAAAGTTAAAAAAGACACTTGCAGTAGTAATTTATTAAAAAACATTTATTTTTTAATTATAAAAACGTTGTTTTTTACAATGTTTTTATTTTGTTGTAGAATTGTTTCATTCCAATAAAATTGATATAGTTTATTTTTCCTGGTATCTCAAAATGATAAAAATCATATCAGAAATATATTTTGCTATTTTGCGATTTTATCGATATAAGTATCTAGATGTTATTACGTTCAGAAGTATTTTTAAAATTTTTTTTTACCACGATTACAAGTGTATTGTTTTGAAATATTTATTTCTTATACTGTTCGAGTAAAACATTCGAGTACCAACTATTTTGAAAAATAAAGAAGGTCAATTGTTCTTTAAAACTCTTTCCTTCTGACGTCAATTTTTATCAAATATATTGTTGGAAATAAACTTATACAATAACCTCTTTCTTTATTTGATGTTCCGGATTATATGGGAAAGCAAAACATATCACAAATATGTAATTACAGTTACAATCAGAGACGGTTCAAGAGGTTTTGAACGTCCTGGGCAAAACAAAAT